TAAATAGAATTTTGAACCTATTATTTTTAAATTCTGGCTCCGCTTCTAACTCCTTGTAGGTCTGAAGTTGATTGCTTTTGAACCAGTTTTACCTTACAGATCATAGTCATATTGAACTCGAGCTCATTTTGAACGAGGCATATTTGTTATCCATATCTAATTCAATCTTCACATTTAATTTTAATTCAATTACAATTATATTCTATCTTTAGAAGGTGAATGAAATTTTTTGTACGTATAGCAATACTTCACTATAACAATTAAGCTTTCTTTGGAACTATTTTTCATATTGTGTTATATTATTTATTTTTTATAGCAATACTTCACTATCGGAACAAACAAGTCTGCTATAGAGAAGTTTGACTGTATATTTTATCTTGCCCATTCATTCGGATTAAGGTTTAGAACCCTTGTGTTGGCCCAAGAACAGGTGAAGTTTTGAAGAATGACAAATGAACTCAGTCATGGACCAGGTCCATCATGTGAAGCACAGTGATGATCAACCTACACATGTGAGATGCACGTGAAGGAGATAAGTCTCATTGATTAAGCAGCAATATCTCCTGATCTGATCGAAAAGGTTGCATACTGGATAAGGAGAGAAAGTCTCCTTATGTGAAGAGAAAACAATTCGGATAAAAGATAGTGTTGGAGTTTGTGTTGTTCAAGGAATCAACTTCGATGGAAGATCAACAATTGAGTTTCAATCAAACTCTAATTACTAACTCATTAAATAACAGTGATTGTTCTTCTTTTACAGGAATTACACAAACGCAGAAGTTAAACTAAATTGAGAGCAAAAGAGCGAGGCAATTTTGCAAGCAATTTATGTGAGAATTGAGTGTGCATTCCTGAAGCTACTTGAACGAGATAGAAGAACCAATGCCATTGTGTCTTTCTTTATTTTTAGATCAATTGTAGTAGGTGATTTAAACTTGTACCTTTCAGCTTTCATAGAAGCAATTGTATTAGGTACTTAGAGTGTTCAAGCTATATGCTAACTTGAAGTTGTCGCAACAGTTGAGGCTGTGTGCTACAACGGGATTAGAGTTAATCCTTAGGTTTACAAAGAGTTTTGTAAATGCTGTTTTAGCTCAGTGATTTTAGTGAAAGTTTGGGAAAATCCTACTGAGTAGTAGGTCGTGATTTTTTTTTCACCTTTTGAGCCAGGTGTTTTCCACGTAAAAATCTTTGTGTTCTTTATTTTATGTACTTATTATTCCGCAACCAGTAGAGTTAGTATACCTAGAAGAACCAGGTTCTTCTAGAACGAAAATCGGGTACCACACGAATCACCCCCCTCTTGTGTGGTATTGACGTTTAGAACATCACCTTGACTCATCCTAAGTCCTAACTCATAGAGAAAAAGAGAACTTTTTGTGTGTGTGATGGTGGTTGGGAGGGGGGAGGACGGATACACCTTGCGGCAAACGGTGTCACGTCACACGTGACACCACTTCATCAAATATATATATTTATATATATATATATATTATACAAAATAAAAATATTGAATATAAATATAAAAATGACACTGCTTGTTATTATAGTGATACTTTCTTCAAATTCTTTTGTAGCTTCGAAACAATGACATTCAACCTTTAAAATAAAGATTTTAAGTCTTATGTATTAAGGATGTCAGAAGTATTTTCATAATTAAAATATATGATATATATCATATATTAATTAATTATAAATTAATACTTAATTGATAAAATGATAATTGACATATTGAAATATATTAAATTATTAATTGTGTTAAAAATATTTATATTATTCACATATATAACTTAATTTCTAAAACGAAAGTCACGTCATTGTGCAAGAGAAAAGAACAGCCAAATTTTATTTTTTTTAATTCATCAAGAGAAAAAGACAAAGACAAGAATGTTTTTTTTGGTAATAAAAAAAAAAATAGAATGTTAATCTCAAGTCTCAACGAAAAATAGAAAGTATCGCCAAAACCACAGAACTACAGCTATAGGCCAAATCACATAGTAGAATATATCATTACTATCAATGCTTCTCTTGATTAGAACTAATATCTTGATTAAATATTTACTTTTTAAAAATATATTCAAACCTCAAATTAAATGGCATGAAATCACTATCTCATCTCGAAAATAAAGTAAAATCATAATTACTAAGTTTTTGTAATGTAATTGTATAACCATATTTGTAATTCCCAATGTGAGTAATTATTGTCCTCTCTATAGTTTCTGTTTTTATTTTTTAACTTTTTCCTTTTCTATTTCATCCTAAGTTGTAACGTAGTTTCTTTATTTGTAACTTCCTACCAAACACTCTCATGCCAGAAAAGGAAAGAATAGAAACAAAGTGAGTTTTTAGTGGCCACTTATGTTTGTGGCAAGTCTATTTTCATCCCTATTATATTACTCTGACACATTTGATCCTTCAAAATTGCAAAGTTGAGCTTTTGTAGTCTAATTGATGGAAATTCCAAAATGAATCATTTAAAACTATGTCAGGGGTGAAGCTACAGCATATCAAGGGAGGTCAATTGATCACTCTTCGTCGAAAAATTATATTGTGTATATAGGTAAAATATTAGATTTTAGATGTATATAATATATATTGAACACCCTTTATCGGAAATTTTTTTTGCACTTCTTTCAAGTTTGAACAGTTCTGGAGAGATTCCTGGTTTCGCCACTAAACTAGGTCATATGTCTTTCATGTGACCAATCTAAATAGCGAACGCGATCGAGATTTTCTTGTCCAATTTTATTTTCTCCTGCTTGCAATTTATTTTTGGGATTTTTACCTTCCTATACCATATATGAAACCTTATTACCCTCAATGTTTAAGGTTTGTGTTAATTACATTTCAGCATACCAAATTACCATTTATATACCATAATTCAAATTAGGGATATAATTAAGGGTGCATTTATATTAGGCGCTGATTTAGGACCGTATCTTCCCACATTTACCTTTACCCGTCTCTCCCCCCCCCCCCCTTTTGGAGATGGACAGTAGCATCAATAATCTTCAGATTAGTTCTCATTTACTTCCCCAAAAACCTTAACTTAGCGACCGTATCTTCAGATTAGTTCTTATTTACCAATTCTCTATTTACACGTGCAAAACATCAATGTATCGTTATTTTTATTGACCTCTTTTTTTTTTGGGCAGTGGCTGAAGGTTACTGGTTAACACAGTCGATTGAAACTCGAAGAAGAAGAAGAAGACATATTTCCAGAAATTGTAGATAAATTGTAGAAAAATTAAAAAAATTGTAGATAAATTGTAGACTGTTTTTTGCAGAAGATTTTGTAGAAGCTTTAATCGTTTTGGATTTGTGAAAACAGAAAACAATGCATCTACAATCAGAATACAAATAATCTACAATTTATCTACAAGATATCTACAAAATGGATACATTGAATTTTAATATCCCAATTCCCATTTCAATTGTAGCATAATTGGCATTTTCGACATAATTGTAGAAGATTTGTAGAAGTTTTAGTCTTCCCAATCTACAATTTATCTACAATTCTACAATTTAACTACAATTTATCTACAATTTCTGGAAATATGTCTTCTTCTTCGAGTTTCAATCTGAAATTCAATCAAAACCAAGTCTAATCTTCACCAAAACCCCTCAAAATTGAGATATAAACTCTTAAATATATTCCGAATTATTTACAACAACACCCAATCCAAACAAATAATGACTTTTGAAAACCCAAATTTGAATTCAAAGCTTTCAAGCTTTTTAATTGCTATCAATGGTGGAAAATATATGGAAGAACAGATGAAGATGAAGATGAAGAACAGAAATCTCCTTTCCGTTTCAATATTCTTCTCCTAAATCTGTTCAGAATATTCACGCCAAATCTGTTCAGAATATTCTTCTCCTAAAATTTAGCTCGCATAAATAGGAAGATACAACTGCTATTAATTAGCTTTTAATGATTGGTACAAAAACTGTAGAAATAATGTGGACTGGACGGGTAATTTAGGAATTATGCATATTTTTGGTAATAAGGTTTCATATATGGTATAGATAAGAAAAAATCCCTTTATTTTTATTACTACAAATTTCTTTTTTAGTATGATGACTCTTTGTCTAAACTGCTTTATATTTTGCTGCTAAATGTTGAAAATGTGAAAAATATTTATTAGAGTCGTCTTTATTCTAATCACGTGGAAAGCACATGATTATTTTGTGTGAATTTTAGTGTGTCGTATGACTGAAGTGCTCAATTTTTAAAAGCTTAAAGCACCATATGTGCTCAAGATAATATAATAAGGATGAAAATTGACCTTATTATATTATACCATTTGAGTTACAAGTTCGAAATAAAGTTATAAAATAAAAATCCCTTATTATCCCATTTCCTTTATAAAATAAAATAAAAAGTAAATTAACGTCCTTGCTTGCCTTCAACGTTCAGCTTACCCACCCATTACACTTTGAAAGGTAGATGAACATAAATGATCATTTCTTGATTTCTCCTTTTCTTGTTAGGTTTAAAAGGTAAAGAAAAGGAATGACTTCCTTTTAAATCCATATCTAATAACTACTACAAGACAAACACTATTATTTGAGTGTCAAAAACACAAATTCCTCGAACTTTTGTCCTTAACTTTGTTCACTATAAACTTAAGCTCAATTCTAACGCCAAAATTGACAGAAAACAATACGGTCAAACTTCTCTACAACAGTCATCCCTTATAACAATATTTCATGATACTGGTCACATTTTTATGTTAGCTTACTGTTATATATTCTCTATAACAGCATTTTGCTATAGCAACCAAAAATATCTAAATAAACGACATTGTCATATAGAGGTTCGACTACATTTTGTTATAGCAACAAAAAATATCTAAATAAATGATGCTGTTATAAAGAGGTTCGACAACATTTTTCTATAGCAACCAAAAATATCTGAAAAAACGACGTTGTTATAAAGAGGTTCGACTGTATAAATCCCATTACAAGTTCCATAACAAAGACCAACTAGCTAACTTCTCTTGTTTCTCTGGTCCTTCCAATGCATGTTGATTCTTATTCTTTTTTCAAAGTGAATGTCTTATTATTGCCTGTTCCACATTTCAAGAAAATAAAGTCACTAATTCAGTAGCTTGTGGAGGTGAGTGACAAAGAGAAAATGTTCAAGTTACAGAAGCAGAACAATAAGCTGGCCAAATCAGGAGAAAGGGTTGATTTCAGATTCTCCAATTTCCAAGCACTTCAGGTACAATTCCATATACTTTTTTTCAGACCCTTTAAAGAGAGAGAGTGTTCTGTTTTATTACAACAACAACAACCCAATAAAATTCTCATAAGTAGGGGTATGGGGAGGGTAGTGTGTACACAGACCTACCCGACGGAGTAGAGAGGTTGTTTCCGATAAGACCCTTGGTGTTCTGTTTTATTATCGGATACAAAACTTAGAGAAAAATTCACATTCTTGATTCAATATTTGGAACTGACTTAGCTTTCCTCTGTTAGTTTTGTTAATATCTGAATTGCATATTATTGGATTCAAGAACTTGACACCATATTTGTCATCAGATTCATAATAATGTCTATACTGGAATTGAGAGAATGATCATACAAGGATAGGGTAATGGTTAATGGTAGAGAATCACAAATTAGGTGATCTTGACTTATACTATCAAATTATTTAATGATTTAATTAGACGATAGGTTCAAAATAAGATCATGCAATATGACTAAACTTTACTTTGTAGTTTCACATACTGTGTGGATTTTCCGTCTTGATTTTGATTCCCTTAATGAGGTATTATGTTTCACTGTTCTTGAGCCGAGGGTCTATTGGAAAAAGCCTCTCTACCTTCATCATAAGGTAGGGATAAAGTCTACATACAGACCCCACTTGTGGGATATCACTAGGTTTGTTGATGTTGTTGTAATGAGGTGTTTCACGAGTAGAATCACAACATATTTTAACCCCATTAGGTATTTCCTAGAAGAGCAAATTGACCACTGAGTCATAGTTGATATAATGCTTAAGGAGTCCTATATGCATCGAATCCGTGATGTTATAGTTATTACAATAGTACTAAATGGTCTGCCGAGGGTTTATCGGAAACAACTTCTCCACCTTCATAAGGTAGAGATAAGATCTACGTACATATTACCTTCCCCAGACCCCACTTGTGGGATTCTACTGGACTCATTGTCGTTGTTGTTGTAGTACTAAATGGTCTCATTCAGATTCTTGATATAATAATATAGCAACCATTTTACCGGTCACTGATAGTTCTGATTATGTATATGTTGTAATGTGGTATAGGTACCAAAAGGATGGGACAGGCTTTATCTGTCTATAATCTGTGTAGAAACTGGAAAAACAATAGCAAAGTTAGGCAAAACACTTGTGAAAAATGGAAGCTGTCAATGGCCAGAGACGCTTTTGGAATCGGTCTGGATTTCAGAAGATGATTCTTCTCTAGAGCTTGAAGAATCTCTCTACAAGTTTGTTGTTTCAATGGTATGATCGCGAAGTCCTATCTTAAGAAGCTTTAAGATGACTTGCTTATTCAATTTCTTAATCGCGCTTCCAACACAGGGTTCTGCTAGATCTGGTATACTTGGAGAGGGAACCATTAATTTGGCATCATATGTTGGTTCAAGAATGTCTTCTCCTGTTTTGCTTCCTTTAAAGAAATGTAATCAGGGTACAACACTACAGGCAAGTGTTACGATTGTTAAGTCTTTGATTTATTGCTGGAAAATTACACTGTTTAGCTAGGTCAAATTTATTTTTACGTATATATGATATATGTTGACTCCCCTTATGTGTATATATGTTTTTTATATTTTGATAACCCTAAATAAAATTCCTGGCTCCGCCACTTATGGGAAGCACTAAGCGCTAGTACCTAGGAACCAAATTCCTCTATATTGTAGTATATTTTTTTTTTTTTAGAAACTTAGACCATGTGAAGTGCAGAGTCATTCATATAATCTGTTATAGGAACAAGCTTCCCCTATATCTAATGCCCGTTCACAATAAATTTTCATGTTTTAAGGTGACATTTAAGAAACGAGAGTCTTTCGAAAACGGCCTCTCTACCTCCGTAAGGTAGGGGTAAGGTCTGCGTATATTTTACCCTTCCCGGACCCCACAGTGTAGGATTATATTGAGTATGTTATTGTTGTTGTTGTTATAAGGTGACGTTTATCCTTTATGCCTGTACTACTAAGATCAACAGACATAGGATGGAATTTCTCCAACTTTTTGTGTACTGAAATTCTTATCAATCTTGTTTACAGTTGAAAATTCACTGCCTAACACCAAAGAGTAAATTCAGAGATGAATCCAATATGAAAGAGCAGGATCTTGATCATGACGTTCCCAGTAAATCGAATGAGTCTGATAAATTATCTGCTGGGAGTGATGTGCTTCAGTTTACTCAAGATATAGGCTCTAACTCGGGTCCAAGCAAATTCGAGATCAAGGTACTGATGCAACTTTATCCATTTTTACTGTTTCATTACCAGTGAACTTGACTACTTAGTTTTACCAAGAAGTTATATCTCCATCTTATTTAGCATGTTCTTTTGTCCCTTAGATTATAGTAATGTGCCAATTTGTTGCATAGGCCTTCTTAGGCTGGATAAAATGCAAACATATGTACCATTGACCCCAGACTCCACTTGTGGGATTCCACTGGATTTGTTGTTGTTGTCACCAATTCGTAGCATATGCCTTCTTAGGCTGGCTAAAATGCAACTATATGGACCATTGACCCCTGACTCCACTTGTGGAATTACACTGAGTTTTTGTTGTTGTTCTTGTCGCCTATTTGTAGCACATGCCTTCTTAGGCTGGCTAAATGCAACCATATGGACCGTTGACCCCAGACTCCACTTGTAAGATTACACTGAGTTTGTTGTTGTTGTTGCCAATTTGTAGCATATGCCTTCTTAGGCCGGCTAAAATGCAACCATATAAATCATTGACCCCAGACTCCACTTGCGGGATTACACTGAGTTTGTTGTTGTTGTTGTCGCCAATTTGTCGCATATGCCTTCTTAGGCTGGCTAAAATGCAACCATATAGACCATTGACCCCAGACTCCACTTGCGGGATCACACTGAGTTTGTTGTTGTTGTTGTCACCAATTTGTAGCATATGCCTTCTTAGGCTGGCTAAAATGCAACCATATGAACCATTGTGGGCTAAACAGAAACTTTAGACACATTTTAGACATTCTTATTTCTGCCGTGTGTTGTACTGAACTCAGCTTTAAGTAGTTAATTCTCTTCCTATTTCAGTGTCCTATGTGGTTGATTAACTCTTGTTTTCATTTCAGGAGAGAAGTTTCTCGGCTTCTGGATCGAATAACAGCTTTAGTTCAGCTGAGAGCTTTACACGAAAAGTAAAATTTCCCTCTACATATCACATAAAGAGTGAAGAATCCAATCACACAGGCAAACAAGTTAGAGCAAGTCCTGATATCGCCAATCATTTTGTTTCAGACCAATCATCCTATAATACAAAAGCCACAGGTTCAATGGAGAATCTGCAGAATAACGGAAAAGATTTCACAGCGTCTTCTCTAACGAATTCCAGCTCTTCGAGGAACATTCTAGAAGCTGCAGAAGATACAATTGAAGAACTCCGGATAGAAGCAAAGATGTGGGAGAGAAATGCGCGGAAACTCATGCTTGATTTGGACATACTGAGAGAGGAATTCTCCGCTCAGTCCAAAAAGCAAGCCGACTTGGTAATGGATCTCTCAGCTGCCTATTCTGAGCAAGGTAGCTTGAAAAAGGAGATTGAAAAACTGAAACTAATGTTGGAGGAGTCGACAGCAAAACACACTGCAAAGGCGGAGGATTCAGTATTTCAATCAAAAAGTCAGAATCATATCCAAGAAGAACTTGAAAATGAAATAAGACATCAGCAAGAGTTGAATGCCAGTTTAGCCTTACAACTGAAAGGAAGTCAAGAGTCAAATGTCGAGCTCCTCTCGCTTCTTCAGGAGCTAGAAGAAACTATAGAACAGCAGAAAGTGGAGATAGAGAAATTTTCATCTCTGCATCAGAGGTTAACTGACATGAAAAATTCTACCACAGCCGATTTGCAAGATAAAGTGAATTTCTTGGACCAGTTCCAACGACAGGAAGAATCGGAAGACACATTGCGAAGAGACAATGGACAACCTGAGAAAGCTAGTACTGAGCTAATAAGAGACATTGAAGCGTTAAGAGAGAAAGTGCAGGAACTAGAGAGGGATTATGCTGAGCTTACTCAGGAAAACCTCGACCTGTTAATCAAGTTTAAGGAGTCCAATACTGAAATCACTAGGGAAACAACTGAATCAATTGAAACTGAGAAGAGTGGTATCACGTCGCATATTCACTATGACGAAGAAAATCTTGATAACACACTGACACACATGGAGAAAATTGGAGCAAATGAAAAGTCTGAAGACTTCACTCAATTAGTGAAGCAGCTTGAAGTAGCTTTTCACCATCTAAAGAGACCATGGTATAAACTTTCTTCCGGTATAAGTGATAAGTGCCAAAGTCATCTGGATAACTTGGCAAATTTGAGCGAGAACGGTGAAAGCTCTCACAAAGTATCGGCTAGCTATATCCTTACAAATATGTTTGAGCTGAACCATCTCTTAGAAACTAGAATTGTTGAGTGCGAGGAACTTCTTAAACAGTATGAAGAGGAGATCCAGGAGAGAAATAATTCTGTTGCAGAAGCTCAAAGAAAGCTGGAAGATTACCGTGTTGAGTTTCAAGCTCATGAAAGCTCAATGGCAGAACTACAAGTTCAATGTTCAAGCCTGCTAAAGGAGTTGGATCAAAAAGTTTCCGAGTTGGATAAGTTACAAGCTGACTTACAAATAAAGGAAGAGGAGAAGAACTGTCTTTCGGAGCATCAAAGAGAAGTAGAAGCTAAAGTTGCTGATCTTCAAAAGGAAAGGGATGCCCAAGTTTCGGAGAACAAGCTTCTGGAAAGGAAATTAGCACAGCTCGAAAGTGAAAGACATATGTTGGAGGATCAGTTAGTAGGATTGACAGAGAAGAACGTAAATATGGAAGCACAAATTAGGCTCATGATAGTCGAGAGAGAATCTCGTCAATCAGAATTGGAAGAATCCAGGACTAATGTGATGAATCTTCAAGAAGAAATTTGGAAGTTGGAGAGTGAGATGAAAACTAAAATTGCTGATCTCAAAGAGGAATTAGAAGACATGCAGATCCTATGGTCACAAGCTCGAGAAGAATATGGACATCTCACAAACGAGAACGAAAAGTTGCAAGAATCTTTGCAGAATCTTCTTGAAGAGTACCAGACTGTTCAGCACTCAAAATCGGAAATGGAAAGAGAGAACGTGGAACTGCACGAGCGTCATTTGCACCTAGAAGCTCAACTTCACGAATCGCAGAAAAGCTTGTCGAATAGCTTGATAAAGGTTAAAGCTCTAGAAGAAAATCTCAATTCAATGTGGAAAGATTTTTCCTTGGAAGAAGAGAGACTGAATGCTGAACTTAATAAACTTATTCAAGAGAACAAGAACGAAATTGAGAAACTTGTGCAACAAGAAAGTTCGTCTAATCAGAGGTATTCGGAAAAGTTGACGGAAGTTGAGAGCCTCAAGAAAGAGGTAGAACAACTAACTAAGCAAATTTCTGAAATGGATGAGGAAAGGAGATTAGCTTCTGACGCTATTCAAGACGTTTCCATTTTGCGCGCTGATAATGCAATGCTGGTGTCTGAACTTGAAGATGTTCAATCAAAATTTACATTGATAGAGAAGGAGCTCAGTAATGTAAGAATAGAGTCTGAGTTGAAGATCCAAGATTCAAGACAAAGTTTTGAGAAGTTGATGGTTGACCATGAAAAGATCTTGAAACTTCTGCCAAGTTATAGGGCAAATGAGGAAAAGCTTAAGACGGCGATTAATGATCTTGAGTTGCAGCTGACTCTTTCGCGCTATGAACACCAAAAGCTTCATGAAGAAAGTGGTAATCTTAAATTTCAGTTTCAAAACACAAAGGAACTTCAGGAAGACGTCGACTATCTGAAGAGCGAGCTGAAGGAATGCATGTCTGAAAAGGAAAAGTTAGAAGCATCACTGAATATAATATCCGTAGATTGTGAAGAAATGAAGGATGAGAAGGCCTCTTTTGCTGGTAAGATCTCCGATTTACAAAAAGTCTTGTCTGAGTTGGAGAAAAGCAATAGAAAGAGAATTTGCTTGGAAGAAAAAGTTGAGCAAATGGAAAGTGATTTAACCGAAAAGGAGAAATTCTGCGCACAAGTGGCTGGTTTGAAAACTGAGCTTAGCGAAACTAAGAGAGAAAATGAGCAAAATCAGCATAAAATATGTAAGATGGAGGAAGAGAAGGATAACTACTTGAGAAAAGTTCAAGCACTTGAAGCAGAAGTGAAAATGATGGAAGAGGAGAAGAAATTATATGCTAAAAAGGTTAGCTTATTATGAAATTCTTTCGTATTGTTTTACTACAGTCAAACCTCACTATAACAGCCACGTTTGTTCCGATATCTTTTGGCTGATATAGTGAAGAGCTGTTATAAAGGACATATATTATAACATAACATAAAAATCGGTTCCGAAAAAAACTTGGGTTTTATAGTGAATGGTTGTTACATAGAGATGTTGTTATAGAGAGGTCTAACTTAACGTCAATTCTGTTGAATGACAAAATTCTACGCAGTTTGAACAGAATGATACTCCAAAGAGCGCCAATAAGTACACTAACTTCAATAGAGTACCTCAAAAGCTTAATCAGTCGCAAGAACTTCTGATGGATCGACTTCATTCAGATCGGAAGTATAGCGAATCAGAGGTGTTTTGAATTTCAAGTTTTTCCTTTCAAATGCTTAACTCCCTTGTTGCTCTTTTAATATACTTTTGCTAATCCAGGGTGAAAATGGTTCCACCGATGGAATTGCTTATTCTGTTGAAGTGGATTACTTGGCTAGAATACAATTGCTTGAGAACAAGCTTGCTGAAGCATTAGAGGCAAATAAGAAGTACAAAATTCAGCTTCAAAGGTAGGTGTCAGATGCTTACAACTCCGAATTTTACATTTATATGTATTTAATATCGTATACTAAAGATATCTGTTTGACAATGCAAATTAGAAAAGAGCTCTGCACCTTAGGCAGATCAAAAGGATTAAACTTATACACATGTTGAACTTTTGCTACCTTTTGAAATATTTATCAAGCGATCCATCATCTCAATATAGAACGTAGGATTTCTGCAACATATTGCAAGGCAAAGTAAATAGATAATAAATATAGCACATTGACAAAGTAAAGATAAGAGAACTACACCCCTTCGCTGTAAAAATATACTGTGTTGGTAGGTAAATTTTTTTTTAATGTACATAGTATACTATATCTTGAATCCGCTTGATTCTTTCGTATGTTTACTCTTTTATATTTTGACACCTCTTAATGAAAATTTTGACACCGCCACTGGCAAGAGTAGTGTATACAGTCCGAGTTTGTTTGTTATTGTAATGGTATAATAGGTAGTGATTTTATGAAGATGCTATACTTGTTTAAATGTGTAGGTTTAAGACCGAGGAACGAAAAGGGCATTCACCATCTTCCAGGAAACCAGACGGGGACAGTGAAATGGCGAAAAGGTTTGAACGTACGAAGACTTTACTAGAAACAGAATTAAAAGACATTCGAGAGCGTTACTTTCAAATGAGTCTTAAATATGCTGAAGTAGAAGCACAAAGAGAGGATCTTGTTATGAAACTAAAGGCAGCTAAGAGCGGAAAGAGATGGTTTTCTTGAATCTCGCTAGCATTTTTTGTGGAGTTTTCATCCTAACCATAGGTAAACTTGTCCATGTTTTGATCTAGCACATATATTACTACTGTAATTTATTGTCAAAATAACTGAAACAAGCTACAGGCAATAAAGAATTAGACCAAATAAAAGGTGCATATGGTATAAAATGGAGTGACTAAGCTAGACAAGAAACTACACTAACAAAATTGTGTAATTTATTCAAAGATATGGCAGTGGCAAAGCCTTTTTGCCTTTGAACGTTTGTGTTCTATATTTTTATTCTCAAATGATCTATATCTATAGGCAGAGCCACCTTATAGCAAACTGACACCCCTTAGCGGGGGAAAATACACTGTGTGGATAGGTAAAAAAAAAATTATATGCATATATACTATATGGTGACTCCCATTGATTTTTTTCATATGTTTACTCTTATATATTTTGACACTAGAATTGTTACATAAATAGCCAGTCAGATTTAAAGTTTACTTTTCCTAGCCGGTATACATATATTATACATTGATTATACACAATTATACCCTATATTATACATGAATTTTATATATATTATACATTTGCCAGCTAATTTTAGTTTAAGATATTAGGTGGACGGCTATTTGTGTTAATTCTTCTAGTAAAAATCTTGGCTCTGCCACCGGCTATATGGGGTTTTCATTTTTAGAATGTCCCTCCTGATTAATCTGAAATTCTACTTAAGAACAAACCTTCAATTAATTAATCCTAATCCCAATTGCTCTGGTTAGCTCCCAATCAAGAGAATGAGAGAAACTTACTTGAAGGATTAAAAGAAAGATTCTGATTATGCTAAATTTTATGCTGGCTATTGATGACTGGATTTAGCCACAAGTACAGAGCAAACCAAAAACAATTGTAAAAAAGAAGATATATAATGAGCAAAACAAAATAAAGAAAAAGCAGTGGATGTTGGAAGACATGCACAAATAAGAATAAACTATTGTATGGGAATATTTGACTGTTTTTTTTTTTTTTTTTTTTGGGCATCAAGTATTATTCTCTAATGCTCTTAAAGCTTATATTGTTACTTGTTAGGTTATCAGGCTTTTTTTTTTTTTTTTTTTTTTTTGCGTGAATCAAAATTAATCGGATCGGTGAGTTTCGAAAAAAAAAAAAAAGTCATCAAACCTTACACAAATCAATCTGGCAAAAGTTTTTTGTATTTTTTTCACTAACTTTTTCTAGCTAGTACGTATATTTATACTTCTTGTTTAGTCTTTGGAGCAACGGTAAAATTATCTTTGTGTGAACTATAGGATACGGATTCGAACTGTGGAACGACCATTAATGATTGCATAAGGGTAGGCTATCTACATCACATCTCTTGGGGTGTGGCCCTTCTCCAGACCCAACATGAACACGAGACGTCTTGTGCACCAGGCTGCCTTTTTTTTTTAATATAAAAAAGTTAATTAATAATAAAAGAAAAATAGTTTATCATAATAAAAAAATAAAAAAATAAAAAGAAACACTACTAGTATGTGTGATATAGTTATATAGCTACGTGGCAAGGGCGGCTCAACGATATTGGTGGCCTAAAGCCAAACCTTAATTAGAGGCCTTAAATTTATATAAGAAAATTTAATATATTATTTTATTTTATTTTTTGTAATGACGTTATACCGATCACCTTGTACGTATTTTGATCATTCATATATTCATTTACCACTAGCTTTTATCATTGCAAATATTTAGTAATTCTACTCACTAAGACCTGCATACTATTTTATAAGAAACAATAATGACGATTAAGATATATAATATTTTTATAAATTCTCATAATCTAAATATCTCATTTTTGTAACATAGATAAATGTCAACATAATTTCATACATTTGAAATAGTTAAAGTCTATTTCAAAAAAACAAATGGCATAATCCATTCTTTATAAGAAATAATAAACTCTAAAAGATACTATAAGAGACTTCATTCTTTAATTATCAAAGTCGTCATCAAATTATTTATTTTCATATATTACATATTCATTAACTCAAGTTAATCATTTGAAAAACCTCTTATCACATTTCAAATAAAAAAGTATAAAATTTAATTAATAGTATCTTTTATTAATAATTTTATAATATGTAATAGTATACAATTTGAAAATTTCGGGGCCTTCAATTCTAAGGGGCCTAAAGCAATTGTTTTAGTGGCTTCCCCCTAGAGCCGGCACTGCTACGTGGTCTACTTTTCTTCACGTCACAAAACTAACAAATACGGGATGTCTATGATTTTCCCAATGCAAATAAGTTAAATTCTATAATAAACATTATTTGATCTATAAATAAATAAAAATATTGACCTAGTAGCCATTGGCTAAATGTACCACATGAGTCATCAAAAGATCAAGATCCTTCCTAGAAAGAACATTACGCAATCAAATTAAAGTATATCAGTACAAACTTCCAAGGTAGTACTAACTGATGATAGTACTGCTTGTGTCACCTCAGAAAGCATTTTAAATTATATTCAACATTTAGTAATTACAGATAAATCTCTTGTTAAACATTAACTGATAATCTAGTAAAAATAATAATTAACTTGTTATCACATGTTAAAATTTATTGATAATGTAAAAAAAAAATTGCATTGTCCGTATACATGACTTAAATCAAGCAACAGACTAAATGATGCATATTTTGATTAGAATTCAAGCAAAACCCCTCTACTATTATCTTTCTTTAGTGAGAGTTACTAATTTTTTTTTTTTGTTTAATTAATCATCTGGCTAATTTTGATTTGTAATCACGTAAGGATGGCCGATTAAAGCGGGAAATACTCTCTATCAAGTTTGTCTATTTTCAAAACTCGTATTCGAAATCTCTGATTAAAAATAAGTACCGTTGCACATATATTCGTCACACCATACTCCGTTGGTAATATAATATTTTTAATACTTATTAAAAGGTGTACACATCATAGTTTGGAGAATCATTTGCCTGAAAAACCTAATTCATGAGAGTCTTTTCCCAAAATAAATTAAACTGCAAAATATTGTATGTTATTTATATAATTAAAATACTAGCTAGCTACAAAAAGTAAAGCATGAGAATATAAAAAATCAAGGGTCAGAAAGGAATATAAGGCCATTAAAAGAAATATAACATGATATAAGATCAGTGGAGAAGGTACCAATGGCATATCCCTTATTAGATTCTTAATTTGCCAACTCACCCCTCCATTTTTACTCTTTTTTCCTACTTTCGTTTTTCCTTCTACTTTACCCAAAATTCATCACATTCTCCCTACTTAAGTCATTACCTCACTCTTATTTTGTCTTCATAAAAACATCACCAATCCATCCGTATAAATAAAAACTAGCCAAGTCTTCTAATTATCAAACCTCTAGGCTAGTTTTCTTGAGTGGTTGCCACCCTTTTGTCGAAATTTTTCGATGGAGGAAGAAGAAGAAGAAGAATTCTTACGTAAACAGAAAAGATTGGAACCGTCAAATAAAGTAAACAGAAAAGACTGGAACCGTCAACTAAAGATAATGAAAGGGTGGCTGCAAAAGATGGTCCTTGTTTTCTAAGCATGTTGATAAGGTAATTGCCATGTTTATGGTGATGGTTTTCTTGTCAAAATTAAGGGCAACTTCTAATCCTTTGGCATTTGGAGTCTATTGATGGGCTCTATAGGAATTGAATTATAGTTTTTTAATAATAAAAAAGGAGAATATATTAATCTCAAAGGCAAGGCAGATGATATGCTAATTATCTTGTCCTTACTTAGTTCTTATTGAGTATTTTTATTAAATTTTGTGTGTGTTTGTAAGTTACTTAATGAAAAAACCTTGTTTTACGTATTAAGGCCTATGGTCAGAATAATGATTTAGAGTTGTATTAATAATGTCTGAGTGTAGTTTGTTATTGTGATTGGTTTTTTAAAGGGTGTATGTATGAAGCTTATACGTAGTACATTTGTGCTTTGAGCAGATTTATGAATGGTTGATAGTAATTGTATGCATTATAAACATTAGTTAGAAATGTTATGTCATGCATAAAGAGGACATATATAATCTTGTTTGAAAAAGAAAGGGTTGATATATACTTATTAATTCCATTCTCTCCTTATGACAATTTTTTATACTCTCTTCCATCATGTCGTGATCAGTGGCGGATCTAGAGGTTAAGATATGGATTTTCAGAAACTCGGTAACTTTGGCATAATCTTTGTATATGTATTAAAAAAATTATTAAATATTCATTCGAAGTTCTAAATAATTTATTGATTAAAGGCTGTAAGGGCGGACTGCTCTACATTCAGCCACACCACAGTGATCCGAAGCGATCTTCTTCTAGATGCGGGACGAAATCCTACCGCCAATTGCTGGCTCTGAATAACTAAATATTAATTGTGAACCTAGTTATTAACTTGACATCATTATAGAAACTCATAAACTTTAAATCCTAGATCCGCTCTTTGGTCATGATCATGAGTTGTTCCCCCTAAAAATTGAAATGACCTATTTTTTTATTTTGACATATTTTAATATAATACACATAAAAATACTAGTTATAGCACGTATAAAAAAGAGTTGCATACATTATATCTTATGCTAAGAGTGGTAGTGTACTTTGTTTTTTCCATTATGATGTATTAAATCCAAATTCATTGTGTTAAGAGGATCTTATAACTTTTTATTTCCTTTATCCTAAAGTAAGATGTTTCGTTCATAATTAAGTTGCAATAAGATATTAGCAAAAAGACGTTGTTTTCTTTTTCATCGATTGATTATCTATGTATTGTTCGTACTTTATGGAGTTTGAATGTCATGCAAGCAGCAAAGGAATCCTAACATATAACACCAGCAATGCAATAACCAGAAAATAGAGAGCAAAGTATTAACACTAAGCATCAACAAAGGCACAATACTACATATGCAAGGGAATAATATGTACATACAGGGTCGCTAAACATACTATAGCCTAGCTTTCGACCCTAAAGAAGTATTAAGAACACAATTGGAGCCCCTATCAGCCTAAAACAAGACACTATCACACTAGCCTCCTGTCTCCTAACCTACAACCTAGTGCTCGACCTCCACAACTTCCTATCAAGGGCCATGTCCTCGGAAATCTGCATCTGTACCATGTCCTGCATGATCACCTCTCCCCAATATTTCTTAGACCGCCCTCTACCTCTCCTCATACCCGTCAAGGTCAGCCGTTCACACCTCCTCGCTGGTGCATCCAGGCTTCTCCTCTTCACGTGCCCGAACC